ATTTCCTTGTTCATGTTCACGAATTCAATTTTATTCCTCCGTTCTTCAGAGGCTTCAAGAAACTATTGAATGTTAATAATGTGAGTTACCTAACTGATAATCAGTCTGTCAAACACAAAGAACTAATTCAAATACAAATTTTGTCCATCAGCAAATGAAAATGTTCAACCCTTTATTCCGTCCAAATCTGATTTCCGTTTCCACTGTAACACTGCCAGGTTTGTAATTGATTCGAGTTTGTCAACACGCCGTTCGTCAAGTCCAAGCAGAAGGCTGCTCAAATGCCATCAACCACTGTGTGGTATGTTTTGACCCACAAATTTCACGCACCTGTTCCGTCAAGGGTGAGGGAATTATCGGGTCCATAATACCACTGTTGCGCGCGAAGGTCATCGTAGCATTGCCAAATTTTCATGCCAACTCCGTTAGCAGGACCTAAGGCCTCGAATCAATTTCCATTCGGAGTAAAATGGGAATCCTTAAACTTACTGGAACCAGCATCCAAACAGAAATTTTGTCCGAAGACTTTGACCTTGGTGGATCCTCGGTTTAGCACCCATTTTTGTGCACCGGTACCATTGCAGTCATATCTGTGATGCGGGTCAGAGGATCACCGGCAGAAAAATAGAAGGTTAACTTACATCTGCACCGGCGTCCCATTTGCATAGACAGCGCCTCTAACATCCATGCAGTTGGCCGTGTCACCGTTTGGATGAAGTGCGACTGGGGCGGGAGGAGTGGGGAAAGAGCCGGAAGGACAGAATCTATGAGCAAATATGCCATTAGTACGTGAACTTCTTCAGTAGTGAAAAGATTGGCGACTTACGTTATGGTGAAAGCGACATCGGAATGTTGGCACGAGTACACTGGTGGATTAGGTGGGGTGTCTGAAATAGGGGGGAAGCCTGTTGGAGGCTGCGTGAATACGTTCGTACAAGAGACATCATCGCACTCCGCTACACCACAAAATCCCCCACTCTACAAGTCGTCTTCGATTCTGATACCTTTCAGAAGCAAGATAACTTACCGGTGAGTAATTATTTGGTGTAATGCTTATTCCGGTATTGAATTGGGCTGTATCGGCCACTATATAATAATAGGCACCCTGTCAAGTCGCTCAGCACTGAATTCAATATAGGCAAAGTCTGATTAACTCACGTCATTAGTCCCAAAAAAACCTGCTCGAGTGGCGTCTCCAGTCGTATCTCCCCCATTCGCAGTGGTATAAAAGAAACCTGCATCAACTCCTGCAGTCGTGGTCGTGCTTGCTCCCGTTGTTAGCGTAGCGTCATACACTCCAGCAATATACAGGTCTATGGAAGCCGGACACTTGTTGACGACAGTATACTGCCGGACCACGATGGGCTGGCCCTTAGTCGAGCAAGCCAGTGTCAGGAAATAGCAAGCAGCAGCGATAGTTTGCGTGAAAGAACGGTGAAAAACCATGGTTGAATATGAATATTTGGAAGAACATCACCGTAGGTCATCCTTTTATCTCGGATTCCAGGTGGATGTAGCACGGCACCGTTTTGCACTCCAAGAGATTGACAAGGATCTATACCATTCTGTAGAGCTTCATCGATTCATCGCCCAACGAGTTGTACACCTGATCGCAAAGTAATAGGCCAGTCTAGCCAGGTATGACTTGGCGCTCGCCGCGACTGGTAGTTATATCACCCGTGCATCTGGCCTATCCTTGTGTAATCATTCAATATACAGGTCTAATAAACTGCCGCCAAGATATATAGGTATTTTGTGACAGGTTTCGTTGAAATTCGCATACTCTACTGTTGCCCTGAAGAAACACGTAGGTATCAAGTCTCGTGAGTTCAGCTTGGTCGCAAAGATTCAGAACTTCATCACAATAACTGATTTACACAGTGTATACGCTATCTGCACGTTAAAGGCACGTCAATCAAGATATTAATCTAAGATATATGAGTCGAAGCAAGGTCATATGGCTATGAAGTCCAGCCTATGACAGCGATTCTAAGTTCTAGACCACTCGAAAGGAACCGACATTAATTCCTACAATTTCCAGAATTTCCAGCAGCCAATCCTTCACCAGGTCTTCACTCGGTCCAGATCTGATTCGCATTACCATCAGTACATTGCCAAGTCTGAAGGCGGTTCGAGTTCGACAATATTCCGTCTGTGAGGTCGAGGCAGAGTCCTAGAAGCGAGAGATGGTCAGCCAAAAGGAATCATCGAACACGGAACGACTACTCTTACCTTTTCCTTCAAGCGCAATGCGGTTATCATCAGTGTAGTACCATTGCTGCGCGGGGAGATTATCATAGCATTGCCAGATTTTCATGCCGACAGTATTTCCAGAGTCTAAAGTGATAAAAGTAAGTCCAGAATCGAAAAGATGAGCCAAAGTCGGTCGGAACTCACTGGAACCAGCATGCAAGCAGAAATTGGTACCAGCAACTTGGACCTTGGTGCTACCCTTCTTGAGAACCTATCGCTGGGCATTAGTCTCGTTGCAGTCGTAGCTGTTCAAAGAATTTGAGTTGGCGCGTTGAGCTAAATGAAAAAAAAGAGGCTTACATTTGGACGGGAGTTCCGTTCTCGAATTGGGCGCCACGGACGTCGATGCACTTATTAGGATAGAAATTCGGGTGGATAGCATGGTATGCAGGGGGCGGCGGTGGGGGAGGAGGAGGAGCATGCGGGAAAGATCCAGAAGGACAGAAGCTGTCTAAACAAGGGAAATGTAAGTATGCACAATTTTTGAGGAATGAGCAGGACAAGACTGACGTTATAGTATAGGCAACATCATGGAATGGGCAAGAGTAGACAGGCGAGGCAGGAGGTGTGATGGAAGGGCGAGGGAATCTGGTAGGCGGTTTGGCAAACGCGTCGTGGCAAAATGCGTTGTCACAGCGAGCTACGGCACAGAGTCCTTTGCGCTATGAATTAGGTTTAACGGACATTCGCTTTATGCAATGAAATGTGAGTGCTCACTTCAGGGTGATTAGGCTTAATGCTGATGCCGGCATTGAAGTCGCCCACGTCCTTGACAATATAGTAATAAGTGGCGCCATGATCCCCATAGAATCCAGCGCGCGTTGCAGACCCGTCGAGCTTACCGCCGTTGGCTGTGGTGTAGAAGAAGCCTGCGTCGTTGCCAAGGACCTTGGTAGTGTTGGCTCCTTTGGCGAGAGTGCTGTCCTTCGCACTGCCGATGTAAAGATCTACGGGAGCGGGGCAATTATTGACGACCGTATAGTTCCTCTGGGCGTTCGCGGCAACAGCAAACACCAGGAGAGCAGAGAGGGTACGAAGGAATGGGGCGCCAATAAAAGAACGTGAGTGCTGCATACCTGTTTCTAGAAAAAAGAAATACCTTGCTAGGCTGGCCTTTATTCAAAGTTGGGGTCTAAAGATGAAAACGACTTGTATGTTTAGTGTCTAGGAAGCGCCTGAACACACTGACAAGATCGCTTCTCATGAACGATTTATGGCCACATTACATACTTGAATGTGGCAACGGAGCACCACTCGACATTGATCCGTTCAATTGCGTCCTTCGCATGGCGTTCAGGGTTGAGACAACGCCTAATGCCCCGCACAACGTCATCTCAACCCTGAAGGCGAAGCTTGGACGTAACCTCCATGAGGAAACTTCTTTATGTCAATACCAATGGCAGTCCATGGACCTCTTATTTACTTTGCATCTTGACACAAGCATCGCTCCGAATCATCGCTTGCTTGTAGATATTCACTACTGGGCTAGCTGCGAGACATTTCATGATCCGTCAATTCGAACGCTGCTGCGTCGTGTTTCGTGTTTCGTGCATGCTGGTCTCGTGGACACTCCTTGCACGTTGATGGGTCTTGGCAGTCAAATATTAGCAGGATTGATCCTTTGTGAACAACTCACACAAATGTGGGGCAGACCTCTTGCATCGATGAAGGTGTTGATGAGATGATTGATTTCGCCCGAGCCGTGGGTTGGAAACTGAGGGGAATTGTATCAGTATCGCCTATGGCAGGCCACCGCATACCAGCATCCATCCATCCACCCGATGATCGACAACAAGAACTGAGAGAGAGAAGGTCATGAACTCATTCATCAATTGTCCATAAGTTAGTAATACAGTCCCATCATATCCTTCGGTGAATTATACAGTCGTGATAGAGTACAGAGGTCGTTCATTCATAGCTAGGCGGATTCTCGACTGGCACACCGCCTACCAATGTGACTGTGCTTGACTCGGCTGGCATGGTATACGTAGCTAAAGATTTAGGGCATCAACACTGAGCAAACCATAGAGAAAAGGTATACTTACGCAACCCCTCGTCCTCTTCTGCAAGCTGACGCTTCATATAGATCGCCCTTTCTCTGGATTTCTCTAAGAGACTGACGAATTCGAACATCGCCCGATCTTTGAAGCGGACTTCCACACTTGTGCCTTCCGTCAGACCACCGTCAGAAGAAGGCTTCACGTTGAACGACAGGTAATTTGCTCCGAAAGTTGGCTGCTCAAATTTGGTCGTAAGGATGGAATGTAAGGGCACACTGAGCGATTCGAAAGAAGATCCTGAGTCCGCAGCGAAAAGGAACTGTAGGAAGTCATGGAGACGAATGTCGATAGCCCAGGGTCAATAACGGGAGCCTCGAACAAAGGCTAGAGAACATACGCGTTGATCTGTTAGCCAAGACCTGCCAGTCGCCCTCAACTTCTTTACTCCTCCAGATCCTCCAGCAGATGAAGAACCAGACGGTGGGGCATCCGGAACGGTAATAGATATATCAACACCCGAATCAATGGTCGTTATCGTCATTTCATTAGGGAGAGGAACCGGTGTACGGTTTGAATTGAGCATAAGCCAGTTGAGCGCCATGGTATATTGTAGTATCCGGAGAGGTGATGGTATGAGTGAAAGGTCATGACAGAAGGTTCGAGCAAGTCATCCTCATCATCACTGCCTTCTGACTTTGCTATCTCCGGGTTTCTCATAATGCAGTGAGTAAGTCCCCAAATCCATATGGCTACCTAGCGCAATGGTAGCGCGTTTGGCTTCGATTGCCTTACGGATACCAAAAGGTTGCAGGTTCGAGTCCTGCGGTGGTCATTTTTGTGTATTTAGTCTGCTGCTGTCATCATTTTTCATGAAGTACTTAATTGATAATGATTCTGAAGGATGTATCTTTGGTTTCTGTTTCGTCAACACACTGGTATGTACTCCATCATCATCATCCATCCATCACTTTTTCGTCACCACCATATGTGTTCAGTCTTTACACACTTCTCCCCTCTTACGTCTAGAGTACGTAAGTACTGCTGATAGACAATCGAGTAGAGCTGGCCACACGACTTGTCACCTGTCAATCAGAACCCAGCTCTATTTTTGAAATCCGACCAGCTGCGACCTGGAGATCGGGGAACGGTAAAGGGCGTGCCGTTCCTTTAGCTTATGTATTCTGCCGTTCGTGAAGGCTGAAGCGCTGAAAGCGACCCTCCGTATAACCAACCTCTATGGCGATGTCTAGTGAAAGCAGCCTGCTACGGCCAGGGCTCCTTCTGTTGTTCAGCCTCGCTATCTATTACTATGCCTATCTCTGGTACCTGCCTCAGCGTCGCTTCAGAGCTAGAGGAATCAAGCTTCCTCCGGGGCCCAAGCAAAAGTGGTTGACTGGAAATCTGCACCAGTTGCCAAGAATTTATCCCTGGCTTACCTTCGCGTCATGGGCCAAAACTTATGGTACGCCTTTTGCCCAACTCCTATCTCCTAGTGACCTATGACAACAATGTAATCACCCATTCAGGCCCAGTCATATATCTTCGCGCATTTAACAAGAGTACTATTGTTTTGAATTCTGGAAAAGCTGCTCTTGAACTCCTGGAATCTCGTTCAGGACTTACATCTGACAGGCCAACCTCTTGGATGGGAGGAGAGATAGCAGGTCGGAAGGCCAGTGTGTTTCTAACCTCTTCGACTGACCCTCGATTCCAATTCTTCCGACGCCTTCTCCGAAACGGCCTAAACCCAAGAGCATCCAAGGACTATCGACCGATACAATTGCAGGAGAATCAAATTCTTCTGCAGAATTTAGCGAATTTTCCACAGGATTACGGTGCACATATCCGGAGGTAAGATATCTTCTCAAACTCAAAATATCGAAAGCTATTCTGACTGGTTGATTTCAAAGAAACGCTGTTGCCGTTATTCTTAAAGTTGCCTATGGATACCAAGTCGAATCCAATGATGACCCTTTAGTACTTCAACTTGAACACGCTTTCCAGTTAGCCACTAGCCTTAATATACCAGGAAAATATTGGGTTGAATTCTTCCCTCTTTGTATGTAGATCCTTCTCCACTTAATTTCTGATTGATTTCTCACCTAACCTTTCAGTACGATTTCTACCATCTTGGTTCCCTGGAGCTGGCTTTAAGAGGACGGCTCAATCTGCTGGACATGAAATGAAGCGAACTGAGACGGCTCCTTTTGAATGGGCAAAAACACAAGTCGTACGTGGTCCTCTTTTCTGGGGCTTATGTGTATACCGCAACTCATCTTAAATTTACAGGAAAAGGGTGATTTCATTGACTCCTTCACCTCAAAGCACCTTCTTGAGGGAGGCGAGACCCTGGACGGAAATTCCCTGACCGACATCAGGTGGTGTGCTGCTGCTCTTTACGTTGGTGGTGGAGACACCGTTAGTCAACTTACTTCGATGTTCATATTGTGAACTCATCCTACGTTCTAACTCTCAAGACCGTTTCGGCGATGTTGACTTTCATTTTACTGATGACTCTACATCCAGAAATACAGAAACGGGCTCAGAAGGATATTGATACTTTAGCTCCCAATCGTCTGCCTTCCCATGATGATTATGAATCCCTTCCCTATATTCGGGCCATAATCAAAGAGACCCTCCGTTGGGGTCCTGTCGCTCCACTTGGTACCGACCTATTGAACTTCTCAACAGGAACAGAATCGAAGAGCTGACCTTTACTGTTTAATTTGACAGGGCTGCCTCATAAAGCTATGGAAGATGATATTTATGAGAACTACTTCATTCCCAAGGGAACCACTATCTTTGCTAATATCTGGTCTGTTCATATATAACATGTTTAAATTCCACTTCATTTCATTCTCCTTCTAGGGCTATTGTACATGATGAAGAAATTTACCCTGATCCCCATGTGTTCAATCCCGAGCGTCATCTCGGAAATCCTGAAGGACGCCAACCAGACCCTTTTAAATTCATCTTCGGATTTGGTAGGAGAGCCTGCCCTGGTACGCCTGCCTTTCAAGAATCTTCGACACTTGTCTCATTTAAAAATTTCTTTAGGCGCCCACCTAGCGGAAATGTCATTATTCTTGAATATTACTAGCATCCTAGCTGTCTTCGACATTTCGAAGGCTGTTGACGAGAAAGGGATAGAAATCGAGCCAAAGATTGAATGGAGTTCTGGGGCCACCATGTATGTGCCGTGGCTTCCGTTATCTCCTCTTCATTGACCTATTTTATTTTTTATTCTAGGCATCTAAAGCCCTTCCAGTGTCAAATTAAACCCAGGTCAAAGGAACGCCAGACGTTATTCGAATAGGCACTGCGCCCTGGGCTCAATTCTTCGAGAGGAAGAATGGAGTTTGATATCATCAGGAGTGACTCCATTAGCAATAGCAAGTCGTTTATATGCACTTTAGTATAGGATATCCATCTACGTTCTGTTCTGGCAGTTTCTGGGTAAAAGCCAGGACTCCCCGATTTACAAATGACCCTCCGAACACGATAGTTCAGGTCGTAGGAATAAGGAGTCGGTAACGCTGCACAAGAGTTCCGCTCTTTTTTTGCCTCGAGGAGACCGGAGGCGAGCCAGAGACCCGAATTGCATCCTGAAAAGGAAAGGGCATTTGCGCTACCGGGACCCGCCCTGAAACTGGCATGTCACATGCCACCACTACATTGAAAGTCCCTGTTGTCGTGTTTCCTTCCTTTTCTTGGAATCATACGGTAACATATGCCTCTTTTATTACTATGTCAAGTGACTCAAGTTTTCTGTAGGGTTACAGCTTGAAGCTCCAGCTCAAAGTTTTTGAAGTATTATCCAACGAAGATTGTCCCGGCAAACAAACGGCGATGTACGTATAGGTTTAATATTGAAAATTTATTCGATCACATTAACAGTGATGTTTCCGGAAAGCGCATACGCGTCCAGGATCAGCACTGCTCCCTTGCTTGTCAGGCAACCGATAGGCGATTCTTCGCATTGCAAGGCCAACAAAGCTGTGCGGCTCATATATTGTTGGTCTCTTGGGTCGGTCAACAAGCCGTAATGTCTGCAAACTGCAATTTCAACCAAATCTACCATCCTGTCATATTTGAATTCTTTGTCGTGGTATTCTTCGTCAGTAAGCTTGGCTACACCAGAGAGAATGACAGGGCGTATATTCTCTTCTGGTATCTCGGACGTTGGAATATAAGCATACTCTGGGTTGTCAAACAAACTGGCGCAAAACATGATCATCAACCTTGAGGTCTGGCTTCCCATCGTAGCTCGGACAACCGAGAAATTTTCTGTCTGTCGTCTAGAGAGGTCTTTCCATACCCTGAAGCGCTCCTTTCTTGATGTCACCTCCGTCCCAACGGTTCTTGTATATTTGGATGAATTGGTAATTTTTATCTTGTCGATTCCGATCGTGGGTTCAGACCCCATGACCCTTGGAAGTGCAGAATCTTTGTATTTACCTTCCAGAAGGGACGCCCAATCGGACCCCAGAACCATGCTCAAGACGTCTGGCTTCATCTTTTCAAACACTCCAGCCTTGGCTTCTTCAAATCCGATCTTGTACTGAACCTGATAGTCCTCCATCTCCAATAATCCGAGGACGGAATACATCATATCCTCTGGATATGTCGACATACGGCCTGCTAGAAGTACCATGGTCATTGAGATCGTCTGCTCCTTTGAAGCCTCGTGCTTCATGCTATAGAGAGACTTGCCCAATGTGCTCCGTCCGATGATCTTATTCGTATCTGGACCCCACATATCTGTTTTCATGTATGACGTCATCGAAATTTGAGGTCCAAAAGGACTGTCGTTTTCGAAATAGCACGTCACTCTATCCTTTGTCGCCATCTGCAGCATGTAGGCGTTGTCGGAAGAGGTGGATTTATACTTATCCAAGATCGGAGCTCGAAGTTCAACTGTGCGAGATGGCATGCGAGAGTCGGTGAGTGCCTTGATGTCCTGCATGACGTCTCCGCTGAAGCAATAGCAGTATACAACGTTTTTGGATTTGATATATTCCTGCAGTGTCCACGCCCTAGTCTCCCAGATCGGAGAATGCAATTCTTTGGACGACATGGTTACAAACATGGACCCAGTGAGATAAACGTGGGTTTCCACTGCACTGGCATATAAAGATCCCATCTTGGGAACGAAAAAAGCCTTCTCATCATCCGAATCCTGGTCTATGCAGAGAACATCCATCCAGAAGAAAGTTCCCCCTCTTGCAAGGACAAGGAAGCAAACGACCGTAAAGAAAAGATGAAATCGTTCCATGTCTTCCGATGCTGACTTTCCGGAGGGTACCCGGGTTTTCTTTTCTTCATGAGGATAGCCGTCTGTGTCCAAGATCCACTTCCTCCATTCGAGCATGTTTGGAGACCAGGTATAGGATATTGCTGTGAAATCGAGCTCATGGAAGTCTTCTTCATCATGTAATTTCAGTACGCCTTGGTAGATAAATGCATTAGCATCAATGAATTTCCATTTGTAAGTCGGGGGAGCAGTCTGGGCCTCTTTAGCCGTAGCTGATTGTCGTTGAGGTTGGTCTTCCTTCACTGGTAAAGGTTCCTTGCGTTTGAGTCCGAGGCATTGAAGTAGGGCATTCATCCTGTGATGAGGTTTAATGGCCAAGTGAAAAACAGTGGAGAACTGTGGAGGACCAGTGAAGCACGCTGAAGACACGCCACAGACCAGTGACTTCCCTCATTGCCAAATACTTAAGCTATTTTTGCGTCTCTTTGACAGGAAGATTGAAGACCATATATAGTGGACGAGGAGCATCGATTACATACAAGTCTGTATCCTGGATTGTGAAGTCTGTTGGCATTTAT